TCAGGCACAGTTGTTTACTTTTGGAGAAAAATTGGATGCATCTCTAAGGGTGACTAGCCTTTTTTTTTGTCTAAGGATGCATTGCTTGTGTCACTCACTGATGTGCTAGAACCTACAAAAGGGTGCAAATCCTTCATGTAGCATAGTATTCCATGCACTGGCTGTGAGGAGTTCTTACTCAAATATGGTCTCCCAAGTTGTATGGTGAACCTTTATCTTGTGTCAGCGGGTAGTGGTGTATCACATTGGTGGGTGCAGTTGAGAGTGATACATTATCTTTTGGCAATTTCCTGGTGGCAATTTGCTTGATGTGTAGATGACACCTTTTTACTATCCCATTCCTCAATGTGATGTACGCGCAGCAAAACTGTAGGTAGGTCTCCCATTCATCTAAAAAGTCCTTAAGTAGATTACTGTGGAATACAATGTTATTGTCACTGAGAAGTTCGGCTGATGAACTCCATTCAAAGAATGTAGCCTTCAAATGGTCAATTATACAGGCTGAATCCTGCTGATGTAGCTGTTGCCAAATAGTAAAATGCATGGGACCTTATTCAATGTCACGTAGTAGGATCAATCCATCTAAGGGTACAAGTACAGGGTTCGTTTGACACCAGGATATCCACTTTGGTAATGAATTGACTTTATTTGATCTGGACCACATGTAGAAACGACAAAATGGGGTCACACGTCCAACCATCACTTCTCACCAGCAAAAATGCATGTTCATCTCCCAGCTCAGAAAATCTCCTGCCTTTATAAGCGAAAAACAACAGCTTTTGTTCACTGAGAGATCTTTCTGATTGGCCACGCCATTTAGGGGAGGGAAGAACATTAGCATAGATTCTAGTCCTTAAAGTAGATTTTTTTTTTTTTTTTTTTTTTTTTTTTGCTAACTACTTTTTGGTAATTTTTCTTTGGCAGATTGCACACAAAACACAAACTCTTTTTTGAGGTAGCTGATTATCTCTTTCACTACACTCTCCCCTGTCACATAAGTGACACTCGGGGGTGGACCACTTTATTCTTGAGCCTCTCCGGAGCGGGGCAATTGTTGAAGGAGATCGTGTGGTATGTTCTGAAGACTCTTCTTCTGAGGATTCTTCTGATCTGACAACCTCATGCACAGTCTTCGCCATCTGAAGAGCTGCTAGCCCTACCTCTGATGGTGATTATTCTTTCACTTCCTGAGCACTCACTGCTAGTGTCACTTGTTGAAGTATCTGAACCTACATGGTGATGCAAGTCTTTTACCTGTCTTGGTATTCCATCCACCAGCACAGAGTGCGAGTTACTTATTCCAGTGACATGCCCCACCTGGTACTGAGTTGTACACCGGCTATGTGGAGCTTTTACCCACATGCGATCGTCTAGTTCATACGGCGCTCATTCTTTTATTCGTTCAGTTAACCATGTCGTGTCAATACCTCTTAGCCGGACTTTGTACGGTAAATCATGTTGGCTGGCACAGTTGAGGGTGATACATTGTTTTTAGGGGTAACGTTGTGCCAATACACCGCTTCCATTATGGAACCATGCTTCCTAGCAGTGATTCTCTTGATGCTCCTATGGCATCGCTTATTATGCCATTTCCTGATGGGACATATGTGCAGCGAAATCTGAGGTGGACTCCCCATGAATCCAAAAAATCTTTAAATAGTCCACTGTGGGATGCAGTGTCGTTGTCAGTGAGGAGTTTCGTCGAAGGTCCACGTTCAAAGAACAACGCCTGCAAATGGTCAATCACGCTTGTGGAATCCTGTCGACGCAGACATTGCTAAATAGTGAACTGGGTTGGGCCACAGTCAATCAGGGTTAGATAGTGAGTTCTGTTATGATGGGTGATGTCCGATCCAACACGATGCCACACTTTGCTCTCACTCAGTTGTCCTTTTGGCCATTGCACAGGTGCTGGGTCAATGGACTGATGCTCCTTGCATTCTCTGGCCACTGCCTTGACAGCAGCTTTGGATACAGAGGGATCAATCTGCCTCGCGAAATATAGAGTCTGTTTTACACTAAGATGTCCGCTTTGGCAATGCACAGATTTTAATAAATCTGAGTTACGGTCGCTTGCTGATGTTGCACAGACATGTCCTACCGGCTCTACCTCTTTCTTAACAGGAGAGTCTCTTGAAATAGATGAACCTTCATTTCTCACCAGCCAAAACACGTGTTCATCTCTCCAGCTCAGAAAATCTCCTGCCTTTTATAAGCGAAAAACAATGGCTTTTGTTCACCGAGAGATATTTCTGATTGGTCACACCATTCAGGGGAGGGAAGAACATTAGCATAGATTCTAGTCCTTAAAGTAGATTTTTTTTTTTTTTTTTCTTGCTAACTACTTTTTGGTAATTTTTCTTTGGCAGATTGCACACAAAACACAAATTCTTTTTTCGAGGTAGTTGATTATCTTTCACTACAGATTTTACCAGTGTTACATTCACCAATAAGTCATAAACTACCAGCTTTTCTAGTCCTTTGAATGAGCATTTCACTCGCAGCTTTTGTATATATCTAGGCCTTCCTGTTGAATCTTTGAGATCCACCCATAAACACACAGAATCTGTAAATAAATGCAGTATTGTAGCTTTCTGTTATAGTGCCATGTTGACATTATTCAGGATAGCATCCAATTTGACCATGATTGTGTTGAGTGTCATTTTTTGAGTTTGAGAGACACTCTAATTGCAAGAGAGGTTGCGTCAACCCACATATCAAACACATGTCTGTCAACACACTGTGTCCTGCATGAGATCATCCAGTTGTACCCTGGTCACTGGCGCTCACTGGAAATGGGTAATAACCGAGCATTACTAAAAAGTAAAAACTAGACAAGATTTCCCTAGACACGGGCAGTGGAACAAGAACAGTCTACCTCTTAGATTAAATAAAGGGTTCAGTTCAGAATTCCCTGTAGGTTACCCAGATCGAGATACAGTTGATGAAGGCCAGAGGGCACAATGGCCAAAACAAGGTGGTGACAACAAAGATGAGGACAATAGTCTGGTAAATAGTGTAATGAAACATTTTTATGAATAACAGCCACTGTGGGTTATTCATTAGACTCAGAGTGACTATTAGATGTAATATCACTTTTGTCTTTAGTAGATATTGTAGAGATGGAAACATTAATTGAATCTGGCTGTATATATGAAACATTGTTTTTGTGTCATTTTGAGAGTGAGAGCCTGATCATAGGCAGTTTCTAGGTCTGAATTCTTGTTTTCTAGTAATATTTGCTTTATTTGACAAAAGACCATTAATGAAAATGTCTTTGATGTTTTTGCCTCTGGCTTGAGTAGATGTTAACTGCCTTGAAGTTGTAATTTTGCTTTAGATGTTGTAGATAAAGATCAAGGATTTCTCTGGACTGTTATTGACTTGTGGCTAAAAAGTATCAAGAGAAAATGTTTTTAGGGTTTATAAAAATACCTTCCAGTATATTTATAGCTGAATTGTAATTGTTAATATCTTATATGTGTTTGTAGATTACCAGAGAAACAAGATTAATCAATAGGTTGACATTTACATCACTCAAATGCTGGGGCTTGTCTGTGTAAGTGGATTTATTTTAAGCTGACAGAAAAATATTAAAAGATCTTTTCTTGTGTATCAAATGTTACAGAGTGATAGAGATCTAATTGTTCAGGCTTGAGATACTTCTCCATTTTTCATTTACTTCTTCCATATGAGATTTTCTGAGAGCTGACTTCCATTTTCTTAGATTGGGCTGAATTGCAAAGAGTTTATTGTGTGGGTTATCATCCTAGTACAGTTGCCATTCCTTTTAAATGTATTTATTAATAACCTCCTTAAAATCTGTGTGTTGGATTTTGATCCTAGTATCCACATTCACATCTAAAGCTGACTTGGCTGCTAGGTCTGCTTCATTATTACCTTTAAGTCCGATGTGGATAAGAATCCAGCATAGTTTGAAAAGCCTTGAATGACCTGCTGGTGAACACAGTATCATCGTCTGTGAGGATTTTGTATGGTGTACCTCTCTCATAAAATATCGACTCCAACTGACAATGCTTGCAGAATCTTGTCACTCTCTCGGTTGCCAAACAGAGAACTGTGTTGGCCTGCAGTCAATCAAGGTCAAATTATGACTATGGCCATAATGTGTAATATCTATCCCCAGCCTGGACCATGCACTGCAAACTGCTAGTCTTCCATTTTGTCAGTGCACTAGTGCTGGATCTATGGACTGGCATTCAGGAGCCCTCTGAACCACCATCTTGAGAGTTGTGCTAGGTATGGAGGGATTGACTCGTCTGACAAAGTAAGTGGTGCGCTTAACACCAGGGTGTCTGCTATGCTGATGTATTTCCATTATTTCACAAGGACCCAGCTCTCCCATGGCTGCACCACATGCTGAGATGATAGGTTTGGTGTCTTTCGTCAACAAATTCAACCACCTCTGTGGAACTGGTAAGTTTGTCAGCTTTATTTTGGTTGGATTTTGCCAGCTTTACATCTAAGGTGAGGCCATACTCTGCAATTAGCACCCAAATGGTCCTCAGTCATTTCTGCATGAGCATCTTCCACACTGCCTTTGATTTCAGTTGTGCTTTTCTGGTCAAGTTGTCATTGATCCACTGGTGAGTACATGTGGAATCAGTGACCAGATGCAACACTTTCACCTTCCACTGCAAGGCCAAGTTTATGCCCTTTAATGTTTTGTCAAGCTTGGCTATGTTGAGTGTCATTGGAGTGACCATGCCAACATATGGTTGCTCATCCTGCCCAACAAAAATGCAACTTTTTTCAATTCAGCCAGGTATACATCCACAGATTTGCCATAATGCAGGTGCCACTTGATGTATCATTTGTACACCATAAATGAATCTGTAGCAAAGGTTGTAACTAATGCAGTCTTTATCTGGTCAATGTCGGATTTTGCTTTGTCATCCAGCTGCTGGTAGAGTACACGAGGGTCTGCCATTCCAGGGACTGTTCGATGATGATGCACATTGTGGTGATGTAGCCTGTGGATGATCTATCTTTGTCAAAGCCTGCCTGTTCTTCTCGAAGTATCTTGTTCTATGCCATCTTCAGTCTCTAGGATGATTTTTTACTTTTTCCATGGGATGGATAGCAGCATAATGCCTCTCCAGTTGTTGCAGGATGACAGCTCCCCCTTTCTTCAGCAACTTCACAAGTTGGCCTTTCTTCCAGTCTTCAGGCACTCTTTTCTTGCTCCCAGATCTTGTGCAGGAGTGGATGCAGCATATCAGTTGAAGTCTGGATGTCTGCCTTCAGTGCTTCATGTCTTACTGTTAGGGCCCACTGCCTTGCTTGACTTAAGAGACTTGATAGCCTTGGTGATCTCATTCTTGGTAGTGGGGCTACTGTTAATGTCAAGGAGTGGGTGGTGAAATGTGGAACAGATGGTGCCGGTCTGTTGAGGGTTTCTTGAAGTATTCCACCCAGCTTGCTCTCTGTTCCTCTTCCTGACACGCTTTCAACACTCTACAGTCAATGTGGAGATCAACATCCTTCTCACTTTACAAGATCCGCATCTTCAACACCAATGTCAAGTTGGTCATACTTTATGGCTCAGAAACCTATCAGGTAACCAACACCCACAAAGTTCAGACATTTACCAACTGATGTCTCAGAAACATCCTCAATATCAGGTATCTGGAAGTCATTTTCAATGGCCAACTGTGGGACAAGACCAAACAAGCCACAATCAAGATTGACATCAAGAAACAGAAATGGGGATGGATCGGCTGCACACTTTGCAAGCCTGCTTCTAGTGTCACCAGGCAGGCCCTTGACTAGAATCCACAAGGGAAGCGAAAAGTGGATTGACCAAAACATACTTGGTGCAGAAGTGTTGCTGCAGAGGTGAAGGCAGCCAGCATGATATGGGCTGAGTTGAAAAGGATTGCTCAGAATTGCATCTGTTGGAGAAGTGTTGTTGTGGTCCTATGTTCCTGAAGGAATCAAGAGGCATAGAGAACATCTAAAGAGGTTTTGTACATTGTAAATTAATGTCATATCCATTTAGATTCACCATATCTATTGCGAAGTCTATGAAAATTCTGAACTGTTTCATAGAACCTTTGCTTATTAACAAAGTTATTTCATTTTTCACCACCTCAACATCCATCAATATTTTTTCTACTCCTATCAATCATGGCAAAGTAATTTGTTTTAAACTTTTGACTTCAAAACCCTCACGAAATCTAAATACTGACTGGCTGGAAATCTCTTTCACTTCCTTTAATTCATCTGGGTACAGTGTTTTAAAAAATTTGTCAATCCACACTGTGCCAGCAACTGTTTTTGAGCAACCACTATCTAGTAGGTCTTTACCCAAATTCTCAAAATCAGTTTAGATTGAAATGAGTTCATCTTAGAACTGAAAAGCTGTGACTGTTCATATGAATTTCATCAGTCTTGTTTATGAGACCAATCTTTTATAAGGTGTTTAATTGATTGACAGAATGTGCATCTCATTAATGTTTTTCCAGCAGAATAATTTGATACCATTCATGTATTCCTTGACTACATCTGCCTGACAAATCTCCTCTTGATCCTCCATTATCTCTTCTGCTTCTTCCAGTTTTGCTTTTTCCTTTACTTTAGGTACACTATCCTTCTCAGTTAACACTCCAGAGATACCAAATATTTTCATCAGTAAGATTGGCAGCTTTAAGCAAAAAAGGAGGCTCTAACACCTTCAGGGAGCTTCATTTTATGCCTTTTTGATTTTTTCTCATATCTCTGCTCATTATCATTTATAATGTTTGAAAATTCTCACCTGCACTCTGTTTATATTCATAAAATCCCTAAGTGCACAATATACCAATGTGTCTTTGGCTTGTAAATATATTCTATCCAATTTGTCTATAATCAATTTATAACCAACAGCCCTTCCAATATATTTGACTCTCACACAACCTCTCTTGCTTTTCCTTTTTATGAGAGATATACTGCAGCTCCAAGCTTGTTTTCTGAAGTATCGGTGCAAATTTTCCAGATTTTGACATCATTCTTCCAATTTAAATAATCATCATTTTCTTCAGGGTAGAAAATAGGTCGGTTCTTGATACTAGACATTTTTTTTGTCTTTTTTCTTAAATGTTTTCACTTATTAAGCTGTTAAAACTAAATGAAAGTTAGTGTTTAACTGAATTCCAAATACAGTGTGTGTGTTTGTTTTTTTTTTCTCTTTGCCCTTTAGAAATTCTGGTGTTGTATAGTAAGGAAAAATTGTTATTTTAACAACACGAGCATATGGTGAGACTTTCACCTCAGAACAAAAAGAATTATTTCTATGTATAAAAAACAATATTATCTAGTTGTGAAGCAACCAAAAGGTAAAAAATAGAGAAGGCAAACAGAACTTCTGTGCAAATTGGTAAATGCTCTGTAACTGGTGTTAATTCCTCACTTTAGTTCCTTCTGTTATCTCTTTAGTCCTCCATGATTTCCAGAATAAAAACAAGTAAAGCTAGCCTCCACTTTACCAACACTACTGAGATAGGACTGTCTGATTAAACATGATGTCACCACAAGTAGTATAAGCTGAAGCAAGGCTGCTGAAAATTTATGATTGTAGGTTTTTTTTTTTTTTTTTTTTTTTAAGTATAGAATACTTTTAAATTACAATTTAAAAAAAACAAGGAAATTCTGGGTTCAAATTTCATCTTAGAACTTAATTCAATATTAATTTAGAAAAATAAAGAAAAAACAAGCAAGCCATATTAAAAAAACATTTTATTCCGTAAAAAGCCATTAGAAAAGAAAGAAACCAAGCTTCGATTTTTACCTTAGAATAAACTGTTTTCTAAAGGAAAAGTATTTAAAGTTTTACATTTGTTGCTATGTTAAAGTAAAAAGTGTAAATTTTATTATTAAATTTAAAGACTGTAAAAATTGTTCTTATTTTGATTGTATAAAATTATTTGAAAACTGTTTGCAATAAAAAAAAATTGACATGGCTTTTTTAATTTGTATGTTTTATTTTAATTATTCTGTAGTAGTAAAGTTACAATATTGACATTTTTGTTGTGTAGAAAATAAGACATTTTAAATAATTGTAGAAAAAATGTTACATAGATATATGGGAAATTTAACTACAGATTTAAAGCTTTCTTTTTTGGTTAACTTGTTTCTAGTAATATTATTATTTTCCCTAGCAAAAAAAATTATTCAAAAGAATATTTGAAGAGCTCCAGATCCAATGTCTCTGTGCTTGATCTCTGAAAGGCCTATTTGCAGGTACGAGTACACCAATGACTGGCCATTTCAGATGGTGATCTTTAAGGGGTGGAGTTACTGTCTAACACGAATGGGATTTTGGCTCAATGGCGCTGGCCATCATGAAAGTCATCATAGATGCTATGATATCTAAGGTTGAAACAACCGCCAAGCAAAGTGGAAGACGATCTTGGTTGTGTCCAAAGAAAGATGTGCAGCATATCAACCTGTCAGAATTGGGCACCGTCATTAAAGGGGTAACCATGGCCCTTCAATGGAATGCAACAGTATTGCATTTGTTCAGATTCCGCAAATGTAATTGACCACTTGAGGGTGTTATTCTTTGAACATGGACCTCTGACGGAATTCCTCAGAGACAATGACACTGCATTTCACAGTGTACTCTGTAAAGACTTTTTGGATTTGTGGGGAGTTCACCTCCAATTTTGCTGTGCATACATCCCATCAAGAAATGGCATAATCCAGTGATGACATCACAGTATCAAGAAAATTGCTGTCATGAAGTAGTGTTCTGTAATGGAAGTAGTATATTGACACAGTCACCCCTAAAGATTGTGTGTCACCCTCAACTGCATCAGCCAACATGTTTTACCAGTACAAAGTCTGTCAAAGAGGTATTGACGTGACACACTCAACTGAACAAGTAAAAGAACGGACAGCATACAACCTGGGCGACCATGTGTAAAAGCCCCACACTGCCAGTGTACAACTTTGTATTGGGTGTGGCATATCACTGGAATCAGCAGCTCACACACTATGCTAGTTGATGGAATGCCAAGACACAAAAGACTTGTATCCCTGTGTATATTCGAACATTTCAGCAAGTGACAGCAGCAGTTAGTGCTCAGGAAGTGAAAGGATAGTCACCATCGGAGGTAGGGCCAGTACCTCTTCAGATGGTGAAGTCTCTGTGCATGAGCTTGTTAAACCAGAAGACTCTTCAGATTATGAGTCTTCTAGACATGCAATTTAATCCCCTCCAGTAATCGTTCCACTCTGGAGAAGCTCAAGAGGCCTGCCACCGTGTGTCACCTATGTGATGGGGGAGTGTAATGAAAGAGAGATGTTTTGTGTTTTGTCTGCCAAAAGGAAAATTAAAGAAAATTGTTAGCAAAAACCTGTCAATTTAAGTATCAGAAGAACTATGCTAATGTTCTTTCCTCCCTGACTGGTGTGGCCAGTTAGAAAAATTGCTCTGTAAATAAAAGCTGTTGCTTTGATTAACGTGGGTAGAATGATTTTTGAGCTTGGTGGGCGAAAGTGGGTTTCCACTGTTGTGAGTGGAAGGTTGAATTTTTTACCCCGTTTTCAGTATTAATTTGCCTGCTGGACTGTTTATGACTGCTTTGCTTTTTGGACTTTTTGATCACAGATTTGAAATTGAACTTTTTTTTTTTTTTTTTTTTTATACTGATTCCATTGATTGATACTCTAATAGTTAATTTATATCAATGAATTGATAAGCATACATGTACAAATTAATACTGGAAAGTTCTTGACCTGATCAAGAAGCCCTTCCACACCGAAATTCTTATGTTTAATCTGATACAAAGAATCAAGTTGGACTAAGAACTTTTCAGCACCCTTTCAAATGAATGATATATCTAATTGTTCTTGAAAGATTTCATCATTTTACTGATAATGGTGTTGGTGTTTGAGATTTTGGTGAATAAGTGGTGAGCTTTGAAATCTAAATTGATAGAAAAAAATTTTATTAGTACTTTTTACTTTCAGTGTGAATTTCTGAAAAATGAGGATTAGGGTAAGATGTACATAAATGAATGTGAAGTCAAAAATAAAATTTAAAAAGAATGCAAAAATGTCATGTAAAATTAATAAAGAAATTAAATTAAACAATTACAATAAATGCATTTATAAAATAAAAAAATTTAAAGAAAATGGAATGAAGAAGAATTAATTTAAAAAGTAAATTTTTCTCTCTTTAAAATTTTTTATTTTTATTTATATTTTTAAAAAGTTTTATTAAGAAATAATAAAAATTATAAATTATGTCTTGCCACATGAATAAAATATACTTATTTCCTACTGGCACCTGAACTTGGTGTTGAGACCTGGATAAAATCAAGGATTTTGGTTGCTTATTTTCTAGGTAGGTATATCCTCTCTATTTGGAAAATTAGAAAAACACATTTCCATGTTTTGATTTGGCCATGGATTAAACTTAGTAGATATCAGTATCTGATATTTTTAATTTTTAAGTTTTTGGTTTCTAGTAAAAATATTACAATAACTGTATTTGGGAAATATGGACAGGAAACAATATGCCATTGTATTCAAGGAACTGTTCTGACATTATTATATGACAAAAATTATTATCAAAAATAAAACCTGACATTTGTGCTTATGTGAATAAGCCAGCCTGCCATTTTTGAGAAATAACAAGTTTTATAAGTCATTCAGAAAAGCAATAATGAATAATTAAAAACTTATTCTACCTGTCTTTGTGCTGAGGTATCTGATTGCATTTTTCCCTTTTTAATTTGTAGTATGTTTAATGTACAGTATGTTTATCAAAAATGCTAGATCAGCTCTGATTGATTTTTTTTTTTTTTTTTTTTTTTTCATAAATAATCACTTTTTTTATATCCTAGTCATAAAACATTTCCTGGCATACAAGGATGTTATGATTTTATTTTTTTTTTTAATTATTTTACCTGATTTTTTTTTTTTTTAATAACATTTTTTTAAGAAGGATTCCATTTGATGCTCTATAAATATGATAACATCCCATAATGTTGATGTTTGTTGCAGGGGGGTACCTCTGTGATAGATTGATTTGGGTGTGACATGTTGTTCTGTCAAGTTTTATGTCAATTCACTGTCAGAAATTCATTTATATTAATCCGTTGTAATCTTGCCCAGGATTGTTAAACTCTTCCCCAGCTGGTTGTTTATTATAAATATTTATAATTCTTTTAGTTACTCTCAGTTTAATCATTTGCTTAAGAGGGAGGGGGAAAGAAAAAGGTGTTAGATGTTCCTTCATTCTGGGCTGACTATAAATTCCAGTACTTGGGAGTGAATCCATATTCACTTCAAGCTTTAGAGTGACTGGCAAGTAAGAGTGGATTTTAAAGTATCAGGTATGTAAGTTTTATTCCCACAACACACACACACACACACACATATATAATTTTACATAATTCATTTTGTAAAAGTAGATAACTCCAAAAATTCGTTAAGAGGATACATGATGGAAAAAATACCCTAAATAATAAAAACAAAATTTTATTGGGAAAATCAAATGCAAAATCTACTTTTTTCCAGTGTCAACATGGAACCATAAATTTGTATGGGAAATTTGAGCATCTTTTGGCAGTGTAAAACACCTTGATTTGGAAATTCTTGTATAAATCAGATAATAGTCAGATTATAATGAAACTTTCATAACTTATTCAGAAATTAAATTATTTTTGAAATGCTTTTTTGTTTTTTATTACCCCCCCCATAACAATAACAAGCATGCACTTATTTAACTTATGAAATTTTGAGAAATTCTTTTTGTCTTGATTAATGTTTATTTATTATAAGGATACGTCCTTAAAGAATTTAAGTCATAAAATTTCTTTGGTTAAACAGGATCCCTAGTTAAAGAATATCTGCTAAATTGTAAAATAAAAAATACAATAAAATAAGATATTATTTAATTAGAAAAGCTTTTAATTAATAACTTATATTATAAACACTACTGTCTTAAAAGAAATTTTTCTCTGTTTAATGAATTGTTACAAGAATTGCTTTTATTTTTTTCAATTTTAATTAGAATTTTTAAACTTTTAAAATTTTGTAGTGATCCAGTGATTAAAACAATTTACTAATAAATGAAAAATCTTACTTCAATTCAATGATAACCTAGTATTTAAAAAAATATTTTCAATTTTGGTGTATGTATGTATAAATGTACTGATTTTTGTAAATATATATGTCCATAAACAACATTATCAGAAAATAAGTGAGGTGCATATAGTAAATTTAAAATTTATTGGTAATTTTCTAACATTTTCTCAAGAAGCTTCTTCATAAGTCTAGTTATAAAGCCAAAGTATCTAAAATTCAGTAAAATATTAGAATGCTTAAAATATTTAACATTTTTAAGATTACTGGGTAGTTAAAATGTATTTATTTTTGAATGCATAAGTATATATTTTGGCTTCTAATCATCTGTTGAACTGATTGGTGAATTATTTGTACATATATTTTCCCATATTTCTTGCACATTTTCTGGTTCCTGTATAATTACCAAAGTTAAGCAATATCAAGCCTGGTCAGTACCTAGATGGGTGACTGCTTGGGAATATCAGGTGGTGTAAGCTTGGATGTGTGGGTGGTGCAATAGATAATTGTTAATTGGAGAGCCGAGTTCCAATTCCTATTAGGTTTATTATATTCCCTTACCCACTAAATACCCTTGGAAAAGTATGAATCCACCTCTTCTCACTCCAACTATAGGTTTGCTGTATACTGAAGAGTTCCCACCTCAACCGAGCGGGTTCTATTTATACTCGTGCGGACATCACATCTGCTCCCTTCTTTGTATTCAGACTGTTTCCCTCTTCTTCCGAATTGCTGCCTGCATACCTTTGGGGTTTTCTTATATGGCGTTTTGGTCATCTTAGGGATATCTTCTTCTCCTCCTCCTCCTCGCTTTCTCTCTCATGTTCTATATCTTTCTGCTCCTCAAGGTCGTCATTGAGAGTGAAGTCGTCCTCCCTTGGTTGTTGGCAAGTCCTGTCTTCGGGGATTCTTTTCATTTGTGATGTGTGTCGTAAAATAAGTTTTTCACCTCGCGTTATAATTGCAGATTTGCCTCTGCATTCTTTTACTCTCCATGGTGTTGGGTGGTGTGGGGAAAATTGTGAAAATGGCTTACCTCGGAACGCTGCTTGAATCTGCGCAGTATGCAAACTCCTGGTCCTTCCAACGGTAAAAAAAGAAAAACCCAAAAAAATGGGCGCCCACGTTTATGCAGGGCGGTCTCGGTTAGTTAACGCGAAATCTCGTCGTCATCATTCGCATGCAAATCGTGGTGGCGCGCGCTGTATAAAGCAGGCTCGTTTTTGTTGTTTCAGATCAGAGGGCTTTCGGCTCGTGAGAAGGTTGGACGCGTGCGACACGGTTTTCTTTGTGCCCTACCTGCTATCATCAGTTGAATTGTTGCGTTACACACCACAAGCTATTTCGGCAATGGACAAGTTCGATCTAAAATTGATCCCAGAATTCGACGGCTCCCCACGGGCCCGACTATCGCCGAATGGTTTGAAAAAGCCGAACGTGTTTGCAGGGTGTCCAAAATAAAGGAACCTGCACTAGTCATCCCACTGAGACTCACGGAGGAGCCCTCACGAGTATATCAACAACTCGGGATGATGCTGACCTAGAAGAGATCAAGGACGCCCTGTATACGGCCTTTGGAATAGACCCATTCATCGCTTTTGGAAACAGTTCGTCGGACGACGCTCGAGTCGGGTGAGACCGTGGATGTTTACCTTGCTGATTTGCGAAAGGCTGGCAGTACCGTTTTGGCGGAGCAACGGACCGCATACTGGGGTGCGCCTTCCTGGCAGGGCTTCCCGCGACACCAGTCGGCTCCTGGGGCGGCGTCTTCAAGATTGGACACACTGGGAATTGACGAATTGCAGCCAGGGCCAAACATCTTGAAGGACACGGAACAGGTCGCGGCAGCCGTCTTAATGCCTGAGACACCGAGGGAGGGCGGAAGTGCTACAAGTGCGGTGGACCCAACCATTTCTCTAGGGACTGCGGAGCGAAGTGGCGTGGGGAGGGAGCAGCAGACGGAACCGAGCACCCACTACGCTGCTATCGTTGTAAAGAGTTAGGCCATGTAGCACAGGATTGCTCGGGGGAAACAAGTCCGGGGACAAGGTGCTGTCGCAACCCTTGCCCCCCTCGGTCAATAAACGCGGCATTGCCTGTTGTCAGCGTGTATGCGTTGAGGGTTAACGATGTTCGGCGCTCGTTGACACTGGATGTTCCCGATCGATCGTTAGTGCGGATCGATCGTGACATGGAACAGTCAACAAATCGAGATTCGGATGATTGACGGGGTGTCCGGGCCTGATGGTAGGGGACTGTGTCGTCCTGACAGACGGAGGAGTCATGCCAAAGTCAACGCCTTGGTGGCACGTCAAAGGCCCTCGGTACGACCTGCTACTTGGGATTGATGCGGATCCGAGCGTTAGGAGGCATGATGATCACGCCAGCCGAAATGTGGAACTGGGTGAAAGAAGAAAGCTGTGCAGCCCTTTGCATTAGTGAGCGGTTTGACGTCTCCTTCAATTCCGGCGAGAGGGTGTGGACGCCAGGTGGAAATGGGCCCAAAAAAGACCCGCCAGTTCAGCCCGAACAAGGTCGCAGAGTACAAAGTCCCCGACAGCATCAGAGGAAAAACGAAAGAGCTTCAGCAGTGGATTGTGAGCGGCTGGCTGATTCCGTACCCCCAGGAAAGACTGGGACCCCAAAGGGTCTGATTCCCTTGATGGCATGGGGCAGGAGCAGAAACAGAAGGTGCGTCCGGTACTCGATTACCCTTGAATTGAGCGACTTTGTGGATGCTTTCACTGCCGATGCAGAAAGTAATGCACATAAAGTTGAGAGCGTGGCGGCGGCAGGGAGTCAATGTGTCGCTTCTGGATCTGCGGAACGCATATCTTCAGATTCACATCGACGAAGCGCCAGGCCATTTCAAGCGGTTATTTTCAAAGGCCAACGCTTCTGTCTTCGCGGCCTGGATTTGGGCTAAATGTAGCGCCACTCATCATGAAATCCCGTTATAGACGCCATCGCATCACAAGACCGTGACAATTGAAAGTGCCACATCAGCATACGTTGATGATATCTTCATTAATGAAAGTTTGGCCTCTGCATCGTGTGTAAGACAACACTTTTGGATTACGGTTTGGCGGCAAGGATCCGTGAGACTGAGAGAGATGGAGCAAGAGTTCTTGGCTTGCAGGTCTGGGAAGAAAATGGCACTCCGATGGAAACGAGGAAGTCAAATTCGAAGCCCCTGATGTGTTGACCGCGGCGCGTATTTTTCGTGTGTGGGAAACTTGTTGGACACTTCTCAGTGTGTGGATGGCTCAGGGTGGCAGTTGCATTCGCTCAAAGCGCCTGGCAACCGCAGCAACCAATGGATGGGATGATAACATCAAAGATCCTCTCTGTTGCATACTAGCAGAGATGTTAAGTAGAGTGCGGAACTGGATCCCGTCGGAGGAGACTGGTGCATGAGTGGTGGCGAGATCACAGTCTGGGTGGATGCGAGTTCCATGGCGACAGGAGTGGCATTGGAAGTAAACGGAAATGTCGCCGAAGATGCGTGCTGGCTGTGTCCGACTAATGATGCCAGGCATATTAATTTGGCTGAACTCGTCGCGGCGCTTAAAGGAGTGAATCTAGCTCTCCAGTGGGGCGCATAACGTTGCACTTGGTTACTGATTGGCGTGTGTGCACCGGTGGATTTCCGACACCTTGACCGGGAAGGCGCGGGTGAACACAAGGGCGACTGGTGAGATGCTGGTCAGGCGACAGCTGGGCATTTTGCGATCGCTGGTGGAAGAATATGGATTGACCCAGACGTGACACTTCGTACAGTCCTGTCAGAACCGCGCGGATCGCCTCACCTGAGTACCGCACAGGTGGCTAGTACTGCTCAAGAGAGGAGAACCGGTACTTTCGAGAGCTGTGCAGTGGCAGGGAGGCGACTGGATGAGGACCAGGTTGCCAATACGCATCGTCAATGTGGACATCCGGCGTGAAAAACAAACTGTACTTTCGCCAGGTTGGTCGACCTACAGGTTTCAGGGAAGCGTTAAATCCGTTAGAAGGCCTGCACAACCTGTCAGTCGATCGATCCGGCACCCGTTCACTGGGAAAGAGGAGAACTGTGTGAAGAGCAACTGGAGCAGACTGGCAATGGACATAACTCACTACAATGGTGAGAATTTTTAACACTCATTGATTGCGGTCCCTCCAGGTTTTGCGGTATGGCAAAGCGCCAAGCAGACAAGACGCGAGCACCGTCATTCGACTGTTGAAGAATGTTTTCCTGAGCGAAATACTGTGGAAATACTGACGGATAACGATACTGCGTTCACCAGTAAAGATTTTAAAGAATTTGCGGACAATTGGGACGTGCATCTGCAGTTTCGATGTGCCTACTCGCCAAGTGGAAACGGCCTCGTGGAGCGGAACCACAGAACCATCAACACCATCGCAGCCAGGAAAGGCTGTACAGTATCGGAAGCGGTTTACTGGTATAATGTCGCCCCGAAAGATAACATTTCACCATCCACGGCGCCGGCTGATGCACTGCACAAATATGCACCTATGAGTAGCTTAGCTGAAGTTTCTCCAGTCATGGCATGTGGACTATTTTGGTAATACATTAGGAATTTTCCTAGATGTTTTCTCCAGTCCTTTCCTTCTGTGTTCATCGTCCGAATGGCTTTCAACATGGTTGTGAAGAACCGCTTGATCTCTCCATTAGCTTGGGGATGATAAGAGGTTACTTTTCAGTGTTGGATACCCCATTCTTTGCAGAAGTGCTTAAACTCTGAGGATATGAACTGGGGTCCATTATCTGAAACGATAATCGCTGGAATGCCATGTGTATAGAAACACCTTTGGATTGTCGATATGATTGTATCAGCCCTGGTGGATTTGGTAACCCCATGCCTCAGGCCATCTTGATCCCGCATCGATTATTCTGATTACATAATCCCTTCTAGGGGAAAGGCCCACAGATGTCTATATGTGGAGTATTTCCCAGGGGCCTTTCATTTCGGCCATATGCACCGGACGGTGGTTTCCCTTTGGGTCTAATGTTGTGCATGGGATACATCGGCTTATGGCAGCCTCTATGTCTTTGTCTATATTGGTCCACCATACCTTAGTTCTGAGCAGGGCTTTTGTTTTCATTATCCCATATGTGTCTCATGTGCCAATTTCAGGATTTGTTTCTGTAGGTTTTGGGGTATGATAATTCTGGCTCCGCGTATGACTGTGCCTCATTTTGTTGTCAGTTCATTCCTCACGTATTTAAAGGGTTCCGTTAACTTATTGGTCTAATCATTTTGTTGTATTGCCTTTTTCACTGCTGTGATGGTTGGATCCCACTGAGATTTCTCCATTATTTCTGATAAGGTGATTGATTTTGGAATGCTGTTAGCTACAACTTTGTTGATAAATCCTTCGGCAATCTCTTCTTCAGGTGAGATGACTTTTTGATACTCCATATGTTGCCCCGAGAGAATATGTCCACCTGGTTATCTTTACCGTTAATGTGTTTTATTGTATAATCATATTGTTGTAGACATAAAATCCATCGCAAAATTCGTGTAGAGGGGTTACCTTTAGGATTGAAGATGGTTGTTAATGCTTGATGGTCGGTCATTATAAGAAAGTTCTTTCCATAAAGGTAAAAGTGGAATTTTTCGCAAGCCCATACAATTGCTAGGGCTTCTTTTTCTAATTGACAGTACTGGCGTTCGCCTTCGGTTAGAATCCTGGATGCATAGCTGATGGGGATGAATATCCCTTGTTTGTTTTAGCAAAGTATTGCTCCTAGTCCCACGGGACTGGCATCTACTATAACAGATGTTTGCAGTTTTGGATCAAAGTGCATGAGCGGTTTGCTCTGAATGACTGCATTCTTCAGCATAAGAAAACAAGATTCTTCTTCCTCCGTCCACCGCCATTCCATGTTTGCTCGCGTTAACTTTTTTAATGGATTGCTGAGTGTTGCCAGTCGTGGCATAAACTTTGCGAAGTAATTGATTAGACCTAAGAAACTACATATATCCTAGACGTTTTCAGGGTTTTTGAAATTTCTGATTGCTTTTATTTTCGAGTCAGTCGGTCTGATCCCTGTATTGGACACTATAAAACCATGGAATTTTATTTCTTCACTATCGAATATGCTTTTGTTCTCTGCAAACTGTGCCTAATACCATATCTAGGGTTCTGTTATGTTCTCTTGTGTCTTTGCCCCAGATTAGAATGTTGTCTGCCCCATTGCAGCAGTTAGGGATTTTCTGAAGGATTTGTTGAAGCAATCGTTGCCCTTCTTCGGCTGCAGATGCAATGCCCATAACCAGTACCTTATATCGGTAGATTCTGGATTTGCATGAAAAGGTAGTGATGTCCCTAGATTCAGAATCCAGTTCTATTTGGTGGTAATAAGAGTTTTGGTCAATTTTTGAGAAAACGTTTGCATTGCTAATTACACTCAGTAACTGTTCAACTGTTGGTATTTGATAGCAAGTTGGTTTCACTGCTTTATTTGCCACACGTAAGTCGGCACATTCTAATTTCTCTGTTTGGTTTCGGTACTGCTACTAATGACGAGACCCACGGAGTGGGTCTTTCCACTCTTTTGATGATATCATTTTCTAGCATTTCATTGATTTTTTTTTTTTTTTTTTTTTATCTCTACTGCTTGTTGGATATGAAATGGTGCCCGTCTTGGTGGTTGTGCAACAGGTATAATGTTGTCGTCTAGTCTAATTTTGAGTTGGAAATTATTCATTCTTCCTAATCCTTCCAACGAGGGTAGGTGTCAATCTAGAATTTCTTTTGTTGATTTTGGGATACTTTTTGTTGTAATCGATTTCACCTGTGGGGTGGTGATAAACCCTAATTTGATGCTGGCTCGCTTACTTAATATGTTACCACCTTGATATGCCTTTGTAACGAATACTTTGTGGGCTCTCCTCTTAGTGGTATTGGAATATTCCCATAGGTTTTTGGTTTACAATTTGTTTCTTTTAATGTTATGTTTGGCCGTACTTTAAGGATTTCTTTAAACGTTTTGCCGTCGATAAGGTTGATGTCTGCTCCCGAATCTATTAATATTCCGACTGGTACATTGTCAATATGGACAATTTCACTATCTGCTGAATGAATAGGTTTCACCTGAAAAACGAATGTCTGGCTGTCTGCATTATTCGGATTTGTTGATATTGGTTGGACGTAATTGTGGCCATCTGACATCTTCGTTTTCCCTTTACCACAAGTCCTTTAAGCATGTTTTTTTGAAGT